TTTCGACGTTGATCACCAAAAAATTTCGGAAAATACACTTCCCAATCGTTTAATGTGACAAATCGTTCGACTAATATAGTGGTACAAATATAAATCTCGGACGATCGTATGCATCTGATGTTTGTGCCTTCTAAATATAGTAATAATAAATTAGCTTGATCTTGAATATCCTTTTGGGAAGGCTATTTTTGGATATGAGCCCCACATATTTATTCGTATATCAATTAATATTAATATTAATGTATATATAAGTAACATGTGGACCGAGGTTACACAAAATTTTCATGTTTTAATAGAGTTTATGGAACTATACCTATATATTATTTTTTATGCATTTTTATGAATTTTCTTTAAGAATATTTTTGGATAATTTTTTTTTTAATAATTTATTTATTATTTTCCTCAAACCGGGCAAGATTTTTTTCAAACATAAAAAACGAAAATGCTCTTCAAAGAAAAAAACATGGATACCCGAGCAAAATATTTTCATTTGGGATCCATCAAAAGATCGAGTCATTTGTTTATACGAGATGATTATGAAACTATGGAGTACAATTGAAGGATTTGTACTAAAATTATTAATATACTTTATTGTTATTTATTGTTATTTTTATTATTATTATTAATTTATTATTATTATATTTTTACTATATTATTATTATTATTATTATTAATATTATTCACTTAGGAAATTTCTATGAGAAATTTTATTTTTATTTTCAAATAAAATGATGGCTTTTTTATTTTTAGATTGCTAGTGTAACATTTTTATATTATTATTTATATTTGTTGTTATGAAATGATCATTTTCATCATAAAGTTCTTGGCAACTCATTTATAGCGAAACCGTGCATTTCATCCAATTAAAAAACAAGGAGATATATTTATTGTATGAATTTGCAATTCGAAGCCCAATTACAAATTAACGTACAATTATGTCAAGGATTATATTATTAGAAGTTCCTTATTATTATTATTTATTGTGAAAAAAAAGGCTTTCTCATATTAACAAACAAACAAACAAATTAATCCGTAAAAGAAAAAATATAATTAAATTAACGAATTAAGGGGGGATAAAAATTTTAATTAATTACAAAACGTAATACAAATTTTATTTAGCTTTTCCTAATAAGTCTATGCATTCATTTATTTTTTGATCTAAAAATCGCTTATAAATTGAGGTGAATTGATTTTTCTTTTTTCTTCAGTTATCACTTTTGACTCTTTACAATTTATTATTGTTATTATTCGGTTATTATTATTACTACTACTACTTTACTACTACTGCCAACTATATAAAATTTCTTCTATTTTTTTTTCACGAATTAATTAATAGTAAGGAATTATATTGAGTCATTTAGTGTTAACTTGAGTTATTATTATTATTATTATTAAAAAAAAAGAGAGGAAAAAATATTTTTATTTTTTATTTTATTTTTTAATTTTCTAGTTTTTTTTTTTAATAACGATTTTTTTTAAATTCAAAATTAAAATTTATTTTTCTCTTCTTACGTTATCAAAATGAGTTCAAATAATAATAATAACAAATTTTTAATAGTTCTACTTTTAACAATATTTCTATTGTCATTGTCGGTAAACGCATGTGAAAAAGCTTGTAGAGTTGGTATTTCAACATCGTTTTCAAACGCGTATAAGAAAGAATTGAAGATTTTCTTTGACGAATTAGCGAGTGGCATCAACATTTATTTATTTGATAATGCTGATCCATCGACCTTTACAAATAATCCCGACACCAACTCTGAGCAGTTTAAAACAGATATTAGAACAGCGATTGATTCAGAGGTTTCACATCTTTACGATAATTCAACTAGCACATTTCCGGATATGATTGAGGATGCAATTTTTGAACAAGAACCAAAATTTAAAGGTCAATGTCAACATCCATACAGAGTGGATCAACCACCAGATGGTGTTAGATGGAAAGATGAAGATTGTGTTAAAATGGATTATATTTGTGGTAATCCACCTTCAATCTGCCATCATATGGATTCAATTGTCAAGCCAAGAAATGTTTTGAATGTAAGAAATCTAATTGAAAGTGATTGTTTGACTGCTGGACCTTTTGAAAATGACTTGGTGGATACTGTTATCAGTGCTTCAAGAGCTAAAGGTTTTTCAAGTACAAGTTCCCAAAAATTTGGTGAGGCCACAAGAAAAAACATCAGAACTCAACTTCAAACTTTTGCTAAAGATGTTGAAACAAACTTTTGTTCAAACAATAATTGTGAACAATATGACACTCAAATTAAACATGAATTATTAGGTTATCCTTAAAACATTAAATTATAATTATTATTACTTGCATATGCATATCATATAACGATATTATTGTATATCGTATATAAATACATCTATTTTTAGAGAGATAGAAAGAAAAAAATTGTATTTTAGATATTTTCATTTTTCATATTTGAACAAAAGAATTTTTTTTTTAATACTTTAATAATAATAATTTAATAATCATAATAAAATTTTATTTGCATTTTCAAATTGTTTTTGTTGGTCATCCCCCGAATTGCAACCAAAAAAAAAAGCTCTCATCATTTATTTTTAATTATATTATTATTATACACAATAAAACAAAATAATATACAAAATTCTAAATAAAACAAAAAAAGTAAATAAAATAATTTAAAAAAATACCAAATAATATATTTATAATAAAAATAAATAAATAAATTAATTAATTAGCCTAGCTATGTTCTTGAAATTGGAATTCATCTTCTACTTCAGCTAATCTATCATTTAAATTTTTTATGGTTACTGATTGTTGATCTATATAATCAGTCATTTCATGGAATTGTCTTTCATAGTTCGCACGTTCCTCATCCAATTTTGTCTATAAAGATTACAACAATGATTTAAAAAAATATATTTATAAAAAAATATAAAAATATAAAATATAAATGTACGTACTCGCAAAAGGGTTATTTCAGTTTGTGAATTTTCATTTTCTTGTGCGTTATTCTTTATAATTGATTCAAATTCTGCCATTCTTGCTTGTACAGTTTTTAATGCTTTACTTAATCTTAAACATTTACTGTCTGCATATTGTAATTTTTCGGTTAATTTTTGTATCTTTATTTCATAATTTTTATGAATTAAGCCTTCACGTTGTTTAGAATCATCTGATTTAACAGCTCGCTTTTGGAATAAAATTAAAAAAAAATTAAAAAAAAAAATCATTTCGAAAATTAGAAAATTTTTCTGTAAAAATATTTAACGATTAATTAACTAATTACCCCTATATCACGGCGAATACTTGCTAAGTCACTGCTTGTTCCATTAATTTCTGTACCATCGAACATTTCATCTCTATCAATAGTAGTATTAATGGCAGTATTAAGTGCACTATTGATTTGATGATGATGATTATTATTATTAGATGATGATGTCGATGATAATGACGATGATGTCGATGATGTCTGATGTGATAATTGAAATGATGGTTGTTGTTGTTGTTGTTGTTGTTGTTGTTGTTTTAATGTGCTTAATGATTGTTGTAGTGGTATACTTTGTAATGATTGTTGAGATTGAGGGTGATGTAACGGTGATGGTGGTGGTGGTGGAGTTGGTGGTGGTGGAGTTGATGCACTATTCGGATATACAAACTAAATAAATAAATTATTGTTATTATTATATTGTTATTATTATTATTATTATTATTACTATATTTTCCTTCTCCATCTCCTCCCTTCCTCCTTTAGAGAAATACTTACACAACCATCGTCATCTTCATCTTCATCTTCATCTTCATCCTCGGCATTTTCTTTATAAACAAAGTAATCACTTTGTTTATCGTCTACTTTATCATCATCACCATCATCAACTTTATGGCCGTCTTTAACATCTTCATTATTACTAGTAATTGAAATATTATTTGATTGATCATCTTCCATTTTAACTTCCAAATATTCATCCTCATTATTTCCATCCAAAGAACTTTTTTGTTGTAGTTGTCTATGATGATTGCTATTCTCGCTAATATTATTGTTGCTCTTCTTCTTGGATAATGAAAAAGATGGCGATAAAGATTCTTCATTTTCATTTTCACCTGAAATCATTGTGTATTCTTCGTCTTCACTATCATTAAAACCTTTTTCTGTATATAATACATTTTCCTTTTCATTTTTTAAAATTGTGTTAAAACATTATTATTATTATTGTTATTATTATTACACACACAAAAAAAGTCGTTTTTTTAATTGAATCTAATAATCTACCTTTTGTTTTGCCAATTCTTCTTTGAGTCTATTTATTTCAGCTTCCAAATTTGTAACTTTATTTGAATCAGCTTCGTTAGTTTTAACAAGAATTTCTTTTTCCGTTGTTAACTCTGATACACGATCTTTAAATTAAAACAAGTATAAATATATTGCCATTATTACCACACGATTACACTTGTAATAATCTGTAGTGATGAATTCATACCTTGAGCGTTTGATAATTTAGTTGCCAAAAGTTGTAAGCTATTTTGCCATGATTGACTTGCTTTTTTAACTTTTAAGCCAAGTTCTTGTGATTTACCGGACTTAACACATGTCGATCAGATTGTAATTAATTAATAAAAAGAAGAAATAAACATATTTTCAAATAGTTAATTAATTAATAAATATATTACTTTATCTTTGATCGACTTTAGATAATCTCTTGCACTAGATTGTAATTGTTTAAAACTTGCGATAATTTCTCTTGATTCAGGATCCATTTTATCACCCAATTCCTGGATAAATAATTAATGCGAGAATGAATGAATGAATGAATGAATGAATGAATGAATGAATGAATGAATGAATGAATGAATGAATGAATGAATAAATTATTGAATAAATATTTTATTAAGCATACATTAAATTGAATGCCGTTATCTCCCTCATGTGTTAAACCAAGATTAATAAATAATATTTCTTTTAACGCATCAATCTCTGCTTGTATATAATCGTCACTTTTTTTTAGATTCTGTTCATTTCTTTCTATCAAAGATTTTGTTCTATTGTCGTAATAGTATTTTAATATCATTAATATTTTCAAAATAATATAATATTATAATGTTAATGTTATATTATATTATAAATTGCACCATACATTCGAAGATCATTTTTAGTCTGATCAAGTTCATTCTCGAGTTCGCTTTTCTCTCGTCTTATCGTACTTAAAGCTTCTTCTGATGCATCACCTGATCTTTTTAACTCTAACTATTAAAAAAAAAAATTTTTTTTTTAACAATCGTGAATGAAAAACTATACCTTGGATCAATTATAATAACAAATTTTATTATCATCCATCACTCGCTCATTCATTTATTCATTTTACCTGAATTTCTTCATTAAATTTCTCTAACTTTGATATTTTTTCTTTAAGATCATTCTCATGTTCAGTATAAGTACTATTGACATCGAACAATTCCTTGTGCAACTTTTCTAATAAAGAAATGTATATATATATATATATATATATATATATTAATTAAACAAATTTTTTTTATATTATTGTTCCTAAAAATTTCCAAAGATTTTTATTTTTTTTATTTACCATTCTCTTCAATTTTTCTTTGAAGCTCTTTACTAATTGTTTCTAAAGTTATCTTTGATCTTTCAAGCTCTTTTTTCGCTGAACCCATCAACCATACAGGCGACAGTCTCTAAAAAAATTTTTTTTTTGGAATTAATTAAACGATAGATTAATCGAATTAATTGATTAATTAACTTTCGACATATTTACTTTTACCAAAGTAGTCGGTTCTTGCAAACATTCAATCCGTTTTGTTAGACGTTGGTTATGAAAAGTTAATAAATCTAATTGTTGCAAAGACTTTAAATAAGTAGAAAAGTAAAAAATATAAATTTAAAAAAATTAAATAATTAATTATGATAATCATCATCGTCATCATCATCATCACCACCATCATTATAAAATATTTACAATTCTTAATTCTTGTTCTTTAGTTTTACATTCTTCTTTTAATGTATCGTTTGTTGCTCGTTCCTTCATATGCAAATTACATATAATTAATACTTCAACTAATGTAATCAATATAATGAAAAGTATTAGAATGTAATTACTTTAATAACAGCCTTCTTAAGAACAGAGTGTTGTGCTTTTATCCTAAATTAATTAATATTAATTAATTAATAATTTTTTATTATTAATAAATTAATCAATCGCAAATTAAATTATTTAAAATTCAATGAATTAACCAATTAGTTAATCAATCAATCAATAACCGACCGTGAAAATTCTGTAAATAATTTTTGATATTTCTCGGCTAATTCTTCCGTTGACGTTACTCCCACTAATAAATAAATAAAATTAAGCAGATAAATTTGATTTTTTTAAACGTAGAGAAAATTTGACCCAAATAAATAGTTCGAAATATATTATTATTATAATTACCTGAAGATTGAAAAGATGCCGGATTTGAAGTTTGGCTTGCACTCATAATTTTAAATTTCTATTTAAATCACCTCACTATCTTTATACTTCGCCTCAACTTTCAAAAATTCAATGATGTTGAGTTGCTACACTACTATCACCACTTTATAATAATAATAATAATAACAATAAATAATAATAATAAAAATAAAAATGATAAAAATGATAAATAATAATGATGATAATAATGATAATGATAGATAATAATAATGGTGGTTATTTATATTTTTTATTGTTATTTGATCAAAAGTTGTACGAATCACACATTTCCTTTTTTAACTCTCTCTTTGTAGATCGTAAAGTTGATGAGAATTTCATTGAAGATTCCAAATATCAGATAATTAATTGTTCAAGAAAAAATCAAATTTTTACAATGTTTTTTTTCCACGATAATGAAATTAATTCGTTCTTGTATATAGAAAGAAGCAATCAAAGATCAAAAAAAACGATCTTTGCTACTTATATATAAAATCCAATTAACGTGATTCTGGTTCAATCAAATTTGGATTAGAAAAAACGGAATTTCCCAAGGCCACTAAATATATTCAAATCCATATCGTTTTTAATATTGACGCTCATGGAACTCAAACCCAAAAGAAATTCGGTGCGAATTAAGATCAAGTGTCAAAGAGAATAACATTTGCACAGCTAACATCATATGCTTATGACATGATAATAAATCTACACAATATGAAACGGAGAAATGGTCCAAACGACCAGAACTATTGTTTTATGATTGATTGATAAATAAATAAATAGACAGATATATATGTATATATGTATATGTGTATATATACTAATATAGTCAAATTTCTAAAGCAACATATGACTTATTATAGTAATGATAATAGTATGGTTGAACACATAATAAAAATTTTCATTACACAAATTCTAAATTAATTAAAAAAGAAAATGGCTGATAAAAAAAATGCGTTAATATTTGGAGCATCAGGTATAATAATAATAATAATAACTATAATGAAAATTAATTAAAAGGGATTTTTTGCCTGATATTTAATAACGAATTTGATTGATTGATTAATGTGAAATAGGTGCAGTTGGTAAATCGCTTTTATACGATTTATTGAAATCGGAAAAATTTAACATTGTCACTTCAATTGGACGAAGAGAAATTGAATATGATGGTCCAAATAAGGAATCTTTGGTATAATCATCAGATTGTCATTGTCATTATGTATAATTGTTAGGCAGGCAACTTATTTTAAATTCAAAAAATTTTTTTGACAGATTCAAAAAGTTGTTGATTTTGAAAAATTGAATCAGCATGCGGATGATTTTAAAGGGCACGAGTGAGTGTACTTGACAATAATAACAACAACAACAATAACAATCGTAATAATCATTGTTTTTAATTCAATGTTTTCATTTTTCTCTATATATTCTCGTCAAAGTGTTATATTTTGTACATTAGGTACAACAAAAGCAGCAGCAGGCTCAGCAGAAAATTTTATAAAGATCGATAAAGGATATGTGATAAATTCTGCAAAATTGGTTAAAGAACAAAATATCAACAATAGTAAATTACACTTTTTATATTGCTCGGCCGGTTGGACAGATGCTAATTCATCCAATTTATATATAAGAGTTAAAGGAGAAATCGAAAATGAACTGTGTGGAATTGGATTTGATCGTGTTAGTGTTTTTAAACCACATTTTTTAATTCCAAAGGAACCTAGAGGTAGATTATTGGAAAGTATTGGTATGAAGACGGCCAAATTTTTTATGGGAAATAGTGCTACTATTGACGTAGATATTGTTGCTAGAGGTATTTACTTGGGCTTTTTGGAATGGTTTTTTGGTTGTAAAATAAAAAAATCTTAATTTTTTTTTATTTTTTTTTTTAGCCATGAGAAGAGTTGGAAGTGGTGAAAATAAAATTGAAGTTGAAAGTAAGAAATTAGAAAATGGAACAACCCTTGATATTATAACACATTCTCAAATTCATCGAATTGGAGGAAACTTTGAATAAATTTATTTTTTTTTATTTTTATTTTTATTATTCAATTATCAATTATCAATTTAATGTTTATTATTATAAAAGGACATTTGATACTTAATTACTATAATCTATTAAATCTTATCAAATTTATGTGTGATCTTAACAATAATAATTATAACAATTATATTTTTAACGAAAACATACATTATCAATCATTCTTTGATATCTTTTTCATCTGCATCTTTGATGGCATTTGTTTTTATGATGTCGTTTGTATCTTTGATGTCGTTTGTATCTTTGATACCTTTTGAAGTATTATCATTGTCACTGTCATGAATTCCAATAACTACTACTTTTTCATCATCATTTCTACTATTTTCAGGATTCACGGGGTTGACAACATTTTTATTTTTCCTTCGGTTATATTTCACAATCAAATAAATTGCTGAAATAATAAGTGCAACAGCTGATATGGCAGCTAAAGTCATTTTCACAATAAAAAGTCTGTTATTGTTATTCATAGTATTATTATTATTTGCAGTATTAGTGTTATTATTGTTATCGGTAGGTGGTGTTGCAGTAAAGTTGTTCAACCATTTATAATTATTTTTATCGGTAACATCCAAAATTAAAATATTTGAAAAAAATCCATCCACTTGATTCGTTCGGATTTTACCTATAATTTGTTTATTTTTAAAAATATTAAGATATTAGTTTCATAATTCTAAAAAATAGAACAACAACAGCAATGATAATGACAAATAACAATAGTAATTACCAAATGCAATTATCATATAAGTATCTTTATACAATGTTGCAGTGTGCATATAATGAAGTGTGTTAATTGCAGTAGGATAAACAATATTTTTTGGAGTTGTCCACTCAAAATTGTTTTTGGTGTCCAAGATTGCCAATTTATCTTGTTCGTTAGTTCCACCATACACGATTATTCGTCCATCGGGTGCTATATATATATAAAATAAATTATTAGATGTATTAATCATAATAATCAAGCAAGATATAGATAGATATTACTTACTTATTACCGAAGAATGTTTAAGTCTTATGGAAGGTGTATAACCAGTTGTATTCTAATAACAATAATATATAATTAATTGGGAAGGAGAACTTGGAAAAAAAGAAAAAAGATTTTCATCATAAATTTTTACCACAGGAGTCCAAGTATCTTTATTAATATTATAAATGGACAACTAAATTTTTTTAAAAAAAGTTAATACACATTTACAAATTTATATTTGCAATCTAAATGAATAATAATTATTATACATACTTGAGACAAATTTTTTCCAATAAGAATTATCTCATTGTCATTTAATAGATGAAGAGTAACCATGGTACTTAGATTATTGATACTTGCATTAGTTTCTTCTAATCTTTTTTCAATTACCAATTTGTCAATATCTACACTAAAGAAAGTTGATCCGCTTAACACGTAAACTTTATTGTTATTATCGTCTCGCACAAAAGCTGTATTTCCGATTAAACTAGTGTCAAACTCTTCACTGAAATTTAAAGGTTTCCAGGTGTCAAATGATTTCGAATCAATCGAATGAACCAAAGGTCCATAATCTGAATTGCCATTTACAATATCTCTCATACCACCTAAAACATAAATTATATCATTGTGCCCTAAAAATACTGTTGCCTTAGAAAATGGTGGTGGTGGTGAACTTGGACTAAGTAGCTTTATTGGTAATGTGCTACTGCCATTGGCATCATCAATAACTGAAAATGATTTGAACAAATCCAAGTAGATTAACTGATTTGTTAGACCAACAGAAGCACCGCCTAAAAAATAAAGTTTATCATTTATCAAAAGCGAATTTTGAGAGTATAAATTTACCAATTGACCAACCACCAGTTGATTAAAAAAGATCATTATCGTTAAAAAAAGGCATTTGACATAATGATTAAAAGAGAATATTATCATCATTTTTACTATTTCTTTTTACTTTTCTTTCAAATAATAAAAAATAAAAAAAAAGAAAGGGCAAGAAAAAAGATATTTTACGCCATTACTATTTTATATTCGTCGTATGTTAGATGATTCCTTTTTTTATCAATGTGAAACATTTTTCTTTATTTGTTTGTTTGAATGCATTTACACAACATTATGTATCATCGAGGTCGCTGCTAGCTAGCTATAAGAGTTTTTTTAAATTTTGTTAAAATAAAAAAAAGGTTTTATAATGCAGATTATAAACACCAAAAACAGCTAATCTTTAAAATCTATAGTAGTTAGTTCAACAACCAAACGCGCCTATCATAGAGTTTTATTCTTTCCCATAAGATTTAAACTTATAACGGTTACAAAGTTTGTTTTTATTATAACAATAATAATAAAGTTATGTCTAAAATCTGCACATATCGATTTGCATAATATATCGTGTCCGCGTGACAATAAATATTATTATTATTATGCAAACAAAAATCGGAAAAGTGGACATTTTGTATCACCAAAATAAATCACAATGGCAACAAAAAAAGAAAAAAGAAAATAAGAATAAGAGTATGGAGTTGAAAAAAGTGGGTATGGTTTGTTAAAAAGAATGGTGGTGATGAAGAAGGAAGATGGGGTGTTAAAATTCTGGACTTTTTCACATCACGCAAAAGTTCTTTTTGCTGAGAAAACAAGCCAGAGTATAGAAAAATTGATGAGGTAAATAAATAATGGACTTTGGCCAGTTTCGTTTCATAGTTTTGAACTTGCTAAAGTTTATATAAACAAGGATTTTGATGTTTTTATTAATGACAAATTACCACAGTTACTCTGCTCTTGCTCCTAGTTATTTTAGTCATTAAACTAGTGCAGGGAAAGAAAAAAAAAAGTTTTAGGTAAAATTGTGCGTTAGTGCTTAAACTAATATATACTACTGTACATAACATCAGCAAAATTAGTGCTTTTGAAAGCAATATCCAAATCTTATTGTCTCTTTGCAATGACATTAAGGCAAGCAAGCAAACATTAATATTAATCATAAGACTTCATTTCATATTATTTTCCTCCTAAGAATTTATTTCATCACTTAAAAAATGGGGACATTATAAAACTGATCACATTACAAATTTTGATCCCTGAAATCTTTGGTAAATACAAATGTTTTGTTGCAGTACGTTCCATATCAATATTATATTAATATCAAATTATTATTACTCGAATTATTTGTTTTATTCAAATAAACATTTGAATAGAAAACCCTAACTGCTACTCAAGATATGATATTATTTTAGTACAAAGGGCTTTAGAAATATTTAACCAATAACTTAATTACAATATAAAGAGCTATTGGTTTATTAAACTAAGCCAATAATTAACTAAAAAATAGTATTAATTTTAAAAGAATATCTGATAAATATTGGCATTTTCAATATTTACTAGTAGGCTTTTAGACTATATGATAAAAATATTATTAACTTATCAGTATGCTAATTAATACCTTGATTATTTTTTTAAAGAATAATCAGATTCTGATATTTGCTGATACCCATTACCCAATTTGACCACTAAAAAGAGAACCAGTAGATTATATATAAGCAAAGAAAGATGGGAGCACAGAAGAATTTTAAATCATGCACAAACATAACAGCTTGATAGCTTGATTGACATAGTGATGCAGTCTTTGGATTCAATACAATTTTATTTTATTGTATATTTTAAATAATCAATCAAATGTTATTAACAAAACTAACATGACTTAGCTATTTAATCATTTCCTTCATTTCCTTGCATGTGAATGCCTCCATCCATCAAATATTCATGATGATCACAATTATTATTCAATACATTTGATATCATTGACATAACAAACAACTGCATCATCCAGGTAGTAATGATGCCAAGGTCATGCATGAATGAAACTTTAATAATGCATGTCTACCCAGATCTCTGGGGCTCACAAAATAAATTATTCTTCCTGATTATCAATTGTGGTTGCTCATGAATAATAGATCTGATGTTGATCACAGGTGTCAGATTTAATTAAAATTTCCTATCACAAACATGCAATTGCGGTGCAATGCACACCCTGTCCCCATAGAACTTTTTTTCCCACAGGCAAGGTGATTGAACATGTTGGAAGGCTTTGGACAAAACTTCCCTATCTTCCCCTCAGACCAGGCTTGGCTGTTATCATATGGGCATTGATCATTGATAGCTGGCATTTGTGTGATGATTGCTGTGAGTTATTGCCACACTAGCATAAAAGTTGGCACCTGCAACTGGTTCAAAAGTTCTGCAACTTGGGAGATTGCAGAGTTTTGAGTCCTGGGTTGCTGTAATTTTTATGAAAAGAAAAGTATTAATATAACAATTAATTATTTAAATGTTTACTTTGTTGAAAAAAATATACATTGATAGTGTACATTTTCTGTGCTTAACATCCATGTGACCCTAAGTCTGGGACAAAAGATCCCTTTATATGAGTTTGGCTGGTATATCCCAAAGGCGTCTCCTGTCTTGTCAGTGGTGTGCCTACTCACCAACAACCATACCCCCATTTAAATAACAAGTTCAGTTGGTCAAACAAAAATTAAAGAGAAGCAGAAATTTGGGAATGTTTAATTTATAACATAACATACCAAAATCTGAACCATTTTATTTTACAGCTTTCTCCTTGATGACAGTGATCATGGTGACTATCACAATAGGAGTATCAACAGAGTTGCAATTTGGTCACAGAGCCATCCTTACCCTAGAGGTAGGATCATTGCAGGTGACTTTTTGTCTAACATGGCAGCCTTCTCTGGTCTGGGAAGATTAGTGAAAGTGTCATTGATGATGATGCAGTCTTGGCAAACTCCAGAGCCACGTCCCCCCCCCCTGAAAATTTAACAGCATCATTGTATCATTGGGGCACACTAGTCAGATTAGCCTTGTGCACACAAGGAACATGTGAGAATGGCTGTAAAGTGTTCAAGGTAGCATGCGTGCTTCAACACTTGTCAAATTTCTGATAATCAAACATTGCATACTCAAAATGTTTTTTTTTAAATGGTGTATTGCCCTGACTTCATGTAATTATAATATTATAATTAATATTTTAATATTAATGATTACACAAAGCAAAATATTATCAATATTACCCAGCAAGATCTGCTCCATGTTTTGATTCCAATTAAAATATTTATAAGCTAAAATAAAAATATCAATACAAATAAAAAAAAGTACCTCTGGTTGGTTATTAACACGTATTCTTTAGGAGACCCAAACCAACCAAAACAACAACATTCATGTATCTAGGTTTATATTATTTAATAAAATTATAAAGTTTTGCTACAGACTTCTGATTTTTAGTGTATGCCATATGCGATTGGTGCAGAGTGTTTAATTAACTGTGCATCGAAAAATAAAAATGCTTATATGCTGGTTTCCTGGTATATACATAATAGTGCTACTGAATAAAAAAAACTATTATTTTATTTATTTACTTATCTATTATTCATTTATATATTCACTATTAAATATCAGTTAACTTAATATACATATTGTGAACTACTTCTATATAAATTAATTAATTTCACATTAACTATTTTTGTCTAGACAAATATCATTAATATTAATCACATTGCATTGGTGATGTTAAACAAACAATGTTGATCCCTGAAATTGTTGGTAATATATACCAATGTTCACTTTGTTGTACTTCACTAGTAAATATAGTTGTTTATCTCTAAATTTTAAGATCAAGTTCAGACAGATCCAATTCAAATACAGTTTATCACTTTTTATTGCCAGAATGTTTGCCGTGTATTGTAAAGTTATGTTGCATAATATAAAAAATTAGTGTAACATTTCAAATTTCCACTGTCTACACATTTTTTATATAATTATTATGATTGGTCGAAATTTTACCATAGTGGAAATTTGTTTCATCCAATATGTTACACTGAGTC